AGATGTTTGATATTATATAATTTATACAATAATGTTAACTTCATGGGGCTGTTATTTCTCATATTGTTTATAGCTGTAAGGCATCATCTACACATAAAATGAAGATTGTATTTGTCGTAAAATATTTAAATTATACTCTTTCTATCACTAGTTCTCTACCTCAAGGATATGTAAGTGAAAAACCTTACAGTTACCAGTTACCATGGCAACCATAATTCCGAGGGGAGGGGGTTGGGGTTGGGAGAGGTTGCAGGCACATCTACTTATGGTCTTTTCTATTGATATGAAGTTTCTTTGGACAGTTTTTGTGGTTGACAGACAGACAGACAAGGTGATTGCTGTACACCTGTATTGTTGTTGGAGTGGAGACTGCTTATTTGATAGACTAGTGTGATATGTGATGTTGTGGTGTTCCTGACTGGTACTTCAATAAACATCACTAACATACCTCTACATTGACAGATCACTGCCAAACGGTCATGATTGATTCTGCCAATAAGAGGTGGTGTTAATAGAGCAATTTAGCCAGTGAGAGAGCAACATAATGAGAAGTATTAGGTTAATTTGATAAGTTGTGATGCCAGTGCTTTCCTATCATTACTGTTTAATACACATTTTGTGGGGATTGAGGTATAACAGAGTTACGACAGGATGGAGATTGATGGGTACTCTTACCAAAAATTGAGGAAAGGGTAATACAAGCTACAGAACTGTGTTGGAGGAATATACATGTACTGTGTGTATCTATGGACAGAAAGATGTATAAAGCATACACTATAAGCATTTTACATTTAATCCATATATCTATGGTTTGACATTTCTCACAAAATTCTGGAAAACTACCCTCAGGGTAGGTACCCATAATTCTTGGACTGGCTCTCTACATAATAAATGTGCATAATTCTTGGACTGGCCCTCCATAATAAAACATAATTCATGGCCCTCCATAATAAATGTGTGGACTGGCCCTCCATAATAAATGTGCATAATTCTTGGACTGGCCCTCCATAATAAATGTGCATAATTCTTGGACTGGCCCTCCATAATAAATGTGCATAATTCTTGGACTGGCCCTCCATAATAAATGTGCATAATTCTTAATAAATGTGCATAATTCTTGGACTGGCATAATTCTGGCCCTCCATAATAAATGTGCATAATTCTTGGACTGGCCCTCCATAATAAATGTGCATAATTCTTGGACTGGCCCTCCATAATAAATGTGCATAATTCTTGGACTGGCACTCCATAATAAATGTGCATAATTCTTGGACTGGCCCTCCATAATAAATGTGCATAATTCTTGGACTGGCCCTCCATAATAAATGTGCATAATTCTTGGACTGGCACGAAAACTTGCTTCATCCATGATGGACAGGCACTCTGGGAAAACTACCCAATAATAGTATGAACATTACAACATTCTCAGTTATAGATCAGTAACTTGTTTACACCCACCTCTATATCTATGGAGAAACATCATTGTTTTGAGGATATGATAAATTAGGTGTCAGCTGTGTTTATCATGATGTACTCTGTCTTGGTGCTCCTGTACTCTAAGACATTCATTCCTGTCAGGTTTACACCTAGTTCGTTTCAGTTTTGAAGCATATCCCTTCTACCTATTACAGTGACATCAACATCTGTCTAAAAATGAATTCCGGATTCCTTAGTCATCATCAGATTGTCCGTTTCTGTCTTGCAGATAGGAAACTTTTCCTCTATTCTTCAGTACTATGTCAACACATGTGTTTTTGGAAAGTTCCTTTTGAACCCCCCACCCAAAATGACTACCAGTAGGCTATAAGTATCTAAAAGGGTTTATTTTAAGGGGTACCAAGAAAAATTGGGGCATGGTCTTAAAATCAACCCTTTCAGACACTTGTATTATATTTACCAGGTATAATAACCCATTGGTAGCCACTTTGGGTGGGGGGTTCAAATGGAACTCTTACCATTTTTTTTTTAATCTTAATACTTGATTTCTGAATAATTTTTTTTGCATCTATTTTGAAGTTCATTCGTTCATTGTATCTTAAATGAACATTATTTTACATCTTTTGTTATGGTTGAAAGGTAACTTCAGTTTTTTCTTCAAAAAATACTTTCTCTGAATATTTCAAATTTTACAACAGAGGTATGGAGGTGTGAAGTTAGTTAACTAGGTAAGGAGACACATAGTAAACTGGGTATAGAGGCATGAGCTGCTGGCTTTAATGTGTGAAGTTAGTAAACAAGATAGGAATAAGATTCAAATTTCCATCTATATGCTAGCTGCAATTTCTCAAACTTAAAATGAATGAAAACTACAGCTAAAAGAACCCTTTGAGAAAATAACCGTTCTAAATTTAGAATGAAAATAGAAAACGCAGTCATTGAATAAATGATGTATTGATTATCCTGGCTGTTCACCCGACAAAGGATAAGAAGGGCTTTAAAAAGTCTCAGATATCGTGTTGGTCTATAATATTGGTCGAGTAAAGAAAGATTACTCCAGTTTCCACACTTCGAAAAAAAGATTTAAAGATTTCACTGTAATAACACTGGTGTCTTTACACATGAACAAACATGTCCTTAAGTAAAATCTATGTACTACTCCACGTGCTAGCCATGTGCTCTCGGGCTACAAGTACAGTGTACTGATAGTCTCAAGTGGTACGAACAAGAGGACATGGGTCATCAATCACCAGTGGTCACATGACCAGTCAGAGTAGCCAATCAGAAACCTTGTCTCAAATGTAGAGGCAACTTTGAATGCTATGTAAAGGAGTGGAGTTTGTTGGTGTATAGAGATGGCCTGTGTCTCTCTACTGATCAGTTGTGATGGAAACAAGTAGTAGTGAGTGTATTTAGGTCACAGAAGTGGAGTCTTAAGGGTGTCCCATTTAGGGCTTGTATATTTGGGTCATGAACGTCACTTGTGATTAGTTGAATTATTCACAAGGCCTTGAAGTACATAGTAAGGCCGCTGATCCCCAAATTACATAAATATTTATTTGTGAGGCCTTCAACTCATTTCTCTGAGCTTTCATAGTAGATGTTGAAAGTGTCAACTGAGGTATGTGTATAGTTGTGGGCTGTTGATACAGTGATACCTGTAGTTGTAACTGTTGTGACACAAGATCCAGGCCGATGTGTGGGAGATTAGGTCTAATGAGACCGACAAGGCTATAATCGTGAATAGTTATATATGTGTAAACAGACATCGGTGATTTAGCCACAGTAGTACAACTCTACCAAGGAATTATTGCTATAGCGATCAGAGCACTGTCCTCGTTACAGTAAGGATTACCTGACAGCTGAAGTGAAAGGGAATCAGCAGAATTTATCAACTCAGCAAATTTTCTAAAAAATTTGTGATTTCTCTTCTGGATGGTAATATTTTCTTCAACAATTGTACCTTGGAAAACTTTTGAAGTCAGAACTTGTAGAGAAAACATTGGTTTTAAATAATAAAACAATTTAGTTGAGAAAACGTGGCTGTTATGTACTGACTGACAGTTTTGTACTTTCTGTGTGCACCACATGGTTATAGCTCTGGTATAAAACAGGAAGTTTAGCACACAGTGAAAATAAACATGGAGACAACGAAAATGAACGGAAAGGGAAGGACCAGCATGAGAGAGGATAGTGGCCAATAAATACAAGGACAGCACCATTAGTCTGGGTGAGACTTCAAACACAACCAGACCATGTTGGCTGTAACTTCTACTGTGTGTATAGACAACAGACTATTGTAACTAGTCAAAGCATACCGACATTGAAGGGCTCTTCAACCTTGTGTCTATCTAATTTACAGATTGTGTGTGTTTCGGTGCTGTTAGAACTGTGGCTATATATTTGTCTGATTGAGGATAGTACAGATCTACTTTCTATGTTGACGAGAAACGGAGATGTATTCATGATGTGCATTGCTGAAAAACATTTGATGGTTCGGGAAAAATTTAATAAAAACTATTAACAGTATTTTTATATCGATTGAAAGCTTTAATTTACAGCTTTAACATAACATGATTTGAATTTGTGCTGACTGTCAATTTAGAGAAACAGGTTATTGTACTCTTAGTAGTTACTTGAATCAGAATTCTTAAGACTAGTGGAATCATGGTTCTAAAGGATATAGATGTTAACACTTGCACACATTGCAACACACCTGATGACTTACAGAAACCGCGGAAACGAAGACATGTGTCTGTACAGCTGGACTTCGGGGACCTAGATGACGTATGTACATACTCTGTCAGGTGATCCTGATAGCTCTTAGTCATTAGTACATTCCAGTACAATCTGTCACATCAAACATTATGTTTATTACACTTATAAACTTATCTAACCACACAATGCAAGAACACATACCACTGTACAATCATCTATCTATCACATCTATTGTATAATTATTTAAATTCCATTGTTGGTGTCTTATATTAGAAATACAAGCCTTTTTCTGGGAGGGAGGGGGAAGGATTCTGTGGAGCCGAATATGGGCCACATCAATTTTGTATTTATTTCATGATATGGCTGTAAGTTCCCAAAATGTATAGTTCAGTTTTAAAACATTCTTTCCCAGTTGATCAATTTCCTTCCCAAAATGAGATAAAAAGACTCATTTCAAATTGAGAAGAGGAAAAGGCTGTACTTTTCTGTTTTTGTCACTGTTTTAAGCCATTCATTTTTCTTATTTATTTATTGTAGATTATCTCCCTTGGAGAAATCTGATGTATTTTGTTATTTGCGTCATGCATAATTGTTTTTGTACAGTTTTTTGTAAACATATAAACACAAATATATAATAATTGTATTTTTTCTCAAACAGCATTTTCTTAGTGTCTACATCTAATACCAAGTGTCTTGCCCTGAGAATATGTGAGCATTGATTACGAGTGTTTACATCTCTTCAGAAGTGAAGAACTACAAGTTCATAATGTCTAGTGATCATTTATTCAAAGTGTTTTAAGACCAAACTTTCAAAGAGATTTTAAGTTCTTACTTTGTAATTTCAGGTTTACTATGCAAAAAAGAAGCGGCGTGCAGCACAGGGAGCTCAAGGGGACGAAAGCAGTCACAAGAAGGGCAAAGTCAATGTCCATGCATATAACGAAGGCTATGATGATGCTAATCACGACTATATAGTCAACCCCGGGGAGAAATGGCTTGAGAGATACGAAATAGACTCTCTTATAGGCAAAGGATCCTTCGGACAGGTAAGTGGATCTTTCAATACCACGCAAGAAAATTATTGAATTAAGAATGTTGAATTAAATGTATTGGTTACCTGTTGGATGGTGTTGAAAATTGTTTAAGTCATTTCGAAAATATTTTTGTATAAGTTTGTGAAAACTATTGTAATTACTTGTTTATACTACAGTTCAAATGATTTCTACTCTAACAAAAACCTAGAACAATGACCTCAGATGAACAGTTCTCTAGCTATGTTTCCTTGTATGGGAAGATTGGGTTTTATGCTATACACAATGTTGCTGAGTACACTAGGAGGCTGACCTTGGTTCTATACAAGCTGCTTTCTAAGCCACTTACTATTTGATCATTACATAACCAGTAATTTACCATTCATCTGATTTATACCCCCGCAAGGCAGAAAACCACTTTTGCTAGATTTTCAATTTAAAAAATAAAATTTAACCACAATCCTTAAAAAAGTTATCAACATAAAATATGTCAATCTTGTTTATTTTCTGAAAGGATGTATGATAAAAGTTTAAATTATATAACATTTATCAGGGTTACAATTTAATCCTAAATTGGACTAAATTACTTAAGATAGTTTATTTCAGTTTGAAAGATGTTAGTCATTCCTCGCTGACAACGAACTACAAAAACAAGTGTGAAAAATTGAAAATTGAAGGGGGAAAAAAAGAATGATATTAAGGAGAAAAACAACAAACAAAAGCCTTGTGATTATTTATGACAGGTAGACGTTGAATTTAAAATCAGACCTGCAGCTGTGTTCTTGTTGTTAGTATTGATAGTGTTTAACGGTTACATTTGAAGCAGAGACTTTTATGGTTGAATGCATAATATATTTAATGTCGCCAAAGTTTTCTTATCTACAGGTTAAAAATAATATCTAAGTGCTCTTGATTTGTGTGTAAATTTTTTATTGGATCAAATTTGTTTAAATTTCAAACTTTCAAACATCAATGCTTGAAAGAAAAAAAAAAACCAACAAAGTACATAATGCTAAAGAATTTCGAATGTCATTAAAAGGTTTGTATTGTATGATCAGCAGCTGGTGGCTTGTGCTGATAGACCATCATAAGTAAAAGATTTAGAACAGGCCATTAGAAGCCTTTAACAGTGATGGACCAGCGCTTAACAGATACCCACGTTTTTCTGTGTAAAAATGAATTTGATACAAAGAAGAGATCAATAGAGCTACTGTTAGCTTTTATCAGTGGTAATTGAGTCATCTGTACATATATATATTGGCTTACTTTTTTCTTGGTCATTAGTCAGTCCTTTTTATGTCTCTGGCAGGTGTTTGGTTCGGCATGTGTCATGTCACATACAGTCTCCTATGTCATAGGTTAACAGTCAGACTTCGTTTTTTATGGATGATGAAGTTTGTTTATAAAACTCTGTTTTAATTTAAACCATTTATTGTTGGGGGCACCTGCCTTGAAAAAATGAGTAAGCGTAGAACTACTTTATTCTATTTCACAAATTCATTTTGCTATTTTGTGTCAGATTGTCAGAAGAGGGATTTATTTTTCAATGAATTCATGAAATTTGATTTTCAACTCCATTGAATTTTTAAGAATATCATTACTGTTAAAAAGAAGAAAAAAATAAGGAAAAAAAAAACAACTTCTAATTCAGTAATTAAAAATTGTTAACCCCATGTATCTCTGATGCTTTTCCTGTTTTCTAGACTAGACAAAGTTATCTTTCCCTGCTGTTCAAATTCCTACACACAGGTTTTCCCACTGATTACAAAAGGGACCCCTTCCTTAGTGCCACCTGCCCAATCTACAGGTTCAACTTTTGAAAAGTTTTCAGTTTTGAATTCTTTCAAACTTTTGGTCACCCCTATCCAAACTGACACCATCTGCCAGGGGTCCAGTACTTCTCTTAGAAGTCAGAAAACTTTTCAAAGAAGTTCTCAACACCTTTCTTAGTTACCCCTGCTCGCCATCTGCCTAGACTTCTCACGCGCAATCACTCGCAGACATCAGCCAACAGGCAGGTGTCTATGTCTATGTGTAGCTATTATGACTAGGGTGGACAAATTCCGACACACTCTGGAGTCCTATGATGAGCAATAAGACATGGTCGGCTGGGCCTTCGACCTTTTGGTTGGTCTGTCTTCTTAGCACCTGGCCTGACTGCCGGCCATGTCCATCAACACATTTTCGTTTGTTGTTTAGAACACAAAAGACTGAATTTTCTAACGGCACCCGCGTCCGATTGTCATTTGTTGTGAAGGGGGATAACAATAACGGGACAGCCATTATAACGGTACTCTGTACTCGTGTCCAAGTTAACTTTGTTTGGAGGCTACAACAATAGAGGAAAATTATAACGGTCCTCACCGCCAAAGTTTTGTTTGTTGTCAATAGTAGTCTGCTTGCCAAGTGTCATTTGTTTTCCAGAGACACAAAAGATTTAAAAGGCAATTATAACGTGTAGATCTAGGAAGTACCACTGACTGATCAAGTACTAGGATGATAGATTAGAAGAAAGTACTCACCTTATTGTTGATGTGCTGGAAATTTGAATAATTCTGAACAGTTACTTGAGAGAAATACACTTAAGCTTTAGAAGGGAAATCCAACAGAATTATTTGATAATGGAAGTCTTTATCATTCATTAAAATTCAGTGAGCTAGTTTATACATTACTACTTGATAGGTAATCCAAAACTTTGTGTGATCCCAATAAGATAAGGTAAAATATTTAAGCTTATCAGGCCTTTATTGAGCTGTAATTTTAATAAGAACAGCTGAAATTGATACAATTGACTGATCTTCCAATGAAAATTTGTAAAGTATCAAAATATTTTTTTTTTTCGAATTATATCTCTTCAATTGGTAATTGTGAATTTGTTGAAGCTTGACTCCCCAGCAACAAGCTGACCTTTAACCCAACACCCTAGTCTTGTGCCCTCGGTACCCGACTGCCCTTACCTGCCAAATTAGCATACAGGTGAGATGCATGTGTCGGCCGTGCACCTGTCCGTACCTGTAGAATACCTGTTGAATGCCTCCATGCGCCATCGAGTGCCTGCCTGGTACGTCCGCGGTCGAACAGATAATAATTCGCCAAGCAATTACATGTGTATAAAAAATGAATCGACCTTGATCTGGTCACAGTCTGGCGAGTCTTGAGTATGGACAATGCAGCTTGTTCACGCCCTACAGACACAGCGATGGAGGGTCTTTAGACAGGTGGAAATATTGACAAACTGTCAAAACTTAACGGTCCAATCTACGTACAGACGTGACACCTTAAAAAGTTAATGAATCTCACTATCTTTTAACAATATCTATACACTAATTCCACTGTAAAAATTACTCTACCAAAAAAAAAAAAAAAAAAAGACAGGTGAAAAATATTGATCACCTGAGTGTCACAAATGTCAACAAAGAAAGCCATCATTTCCTCATTTGGAGATTTTGGCTAAGACTGGTTCATTTATAAAGGTTATGTTATTCATCTAAAATGTTTCCTTTTCTTAAAGAAACTTTTTAAGGAAAGTTTTATGATTGTTGATTAAGTAGGTGGATGAGAAATAATAGAAAGTTATAGAGGTGATTCAGGATCAGGTCCTTTACAGGTGTGACGTGCACAGGTGTTTTACCACAAATATGTCAAAATGGGGAAAAAATGGACTTCATTTTTTTTTTGTTTACACAGAAAATGGCATTTGTACTGGTAAATTTGACATGTGTAATAAGAAACTAATTAAGTATGGATGAATTATCTTTTCAAAATTAACATATTTTTTTTTTACCTGATTTAGAATTAAGTTTCTTCAGGTATCCTGTAAATATTGTGCTTATTGGCTTATACTGTTATTTTTCATATTTGTTTTATATTTATTTTGTTTTAAATGTTTATCATTGTTCCAGATAAATCTGCATTCAATCAAAAAATTAGAATCCTGCACTTTGTATACTGTCTTAAATACATTTCCTGCCTTAAAACTAAAAAGTTAGGGTTATTCCAGTAAAACATCAATAAACCCAAAGACTCTAGGTTTTGTTTAGGGTTAATCCAGTAAAACATCTATCCCTCAGAGCACCAGGGTTGATGAAGTGTAACAACCGTAAATTTAAACAATAGTTTTCTTAGAAATAATATGCAGGAAAGCAAGGATAGAAATGATTCTTTTGGAGTCTTGTGGTCAGGAAGAAAGAAAATGACACACATGTTACTGTAAGAGAATGACACATGTTACTGTAAGAGAATGACACATGTTACTGTAAGAAAATGACACACATGTTACTGTAAGAGAATGACACACATGTTACTGTAAGAGAATGACACATGTTACTGTAAGAAAATGACACACATGTTACTGTAAGAGTGTTACTGTAAGAGAATGACACATGTTACTGTAAGAGAATGACACACATGTTACTGTAAGAGAATGACACACATGTTACTGAAAGAGAATGACACACATGTTACTGTAAGAGAATGACACATGTTACTGTAAGAGAATGACACATGTTACTGTAAGAGAATGACACACATGTTACTGTAAGAGAATGACACACATGTTACTGTAAGAGAATGACACACATGTTACTGTAAGAGAATGACACATGTTACTGTAAGAGTGTTACTGTAAGAGAATGACACATGTTACTGTAAGAGTGTTACTGTAAGAGAATGACACATGTTACTGTAAGAGAATGACACAGATGTTACTGTAAGAGAATGACACACATGTTACTGTAAGAGAATGACACATGTTACTGTAAGAGAATGACACACATGTTACTGTAAGAGAATGACACACATGTTACTGTAAGAGAATGACACATGTTACTGTAAGAGAATGACACATGTTACTGTAAGAGAATGACACACATGTTACTGTAAGAGAATGACACACATGTTACTGTAAGAGAATGACACATGTTACTGTAAGAGAATGACACATGTTACTGTAAGAGAATGACACATGTTACTGTAAGAGAATGACACACATGTTACTGTAAGAGAATGACACATGTTACTGTAAGAGAATGACACATGTTACTGTAAGAGAATGACACACATGTTACTGTAAGAGAATGACACACATGTTACTGTAAGAGAATGACACATGTTACTGTAAGAGAATGACACATGTTACTGTAAGAGAATGACACACATGTTACTGTAAGAGAATGACACAGATGTTACTGTAAGAGAATGACACAGATGTTACTGTAAGAGAATGACACATGTTACTGTAAGAGTAAGAGAATGACACATGTTACTGTAAGAAAATGACACACATGTTACTGTAAGAGAATGACACACATGTTACTGTAAGAGAATGACACATGTTACTGTAAGAGAATGACACATGTTACTGTAAGAGAATGACACATGTTACTGTAAGAGAATGACACATGTTACTGTAAGAGAATGACACATGTTACTGTAAGAGAATGACACATGTTACTTTAAGAGAATGATGTATGAATATTGATTTCATTTTATTTCTTTTTAGGTGGTGAAGGCATACGACCACACTGACCAGGAGCAAGTCGCTATTAAGATAATCAAGAACAAAAAGCCTTTCCTTAACCAGGCCCAAATAGAGGTCAAACTACTAGAACTTATGAATAAACATGACAGGGAAAATAAGTATTATATAGGTAAGTACATTGTGGGGAAGTTAACGTATTGACAAGTACGTTGTGGGGAAGTTAACGTATTGACAAGTACGTTGTGGGGAAGTTAACGTATTGACAAGTACGTTGTGGGGAAGTTAAACACTTATTGGAAATTACACTATAACAGAAAAAACTTGTTGGCAATACATTTTGGGGAAGATTAAAACATGATAAGAACATTTTAGAAAAGATATTTAAAAAAGTATTGGTAATGTACTTGTGGGGAAGATAAAATTTATTGGAAATAGTAAGTCACCATATCAAAACATTGGTTTTCAAGATTTTCATTAAAAATTTCTTGGTCCTGCACTTGCATTGCCGTGTTTCGTTTATTAACAGTACAATCTGTTGTGTATGCTAATGTTAATGTTTCTTTTCTTTTGCAGTTAAACTCAAGAGACACTTCATGTTTAGGAATCACCTTTGTCTTGTGTTCGAACTTCTTTCTTACAATTTGTATGATCTATTACGGAACACCAATTTCCGAGGAGTCTCGTTAAATTTGACTCGAAAGTTTGCTCAACAACTGTGTACGGCGTTGCTATTTTTAGCAACACCTGAGCTAAACATTATACATTGTGACCTTAAACCTGAAAACATTCTGTTATGTAATCCGAAACGAAGTGCAATCAAGATTGTGGATTTTGGGAGTTCCTGTCAACTAGGTCAACGGGTAAGTAACTCAAAAAAACTAAACTGGTATGGAACGGTCACTCATTAGTGATTGCATTGTCAATGAGTGAGTTCTATCATCTACAACGGCATTTGTCTATGTAATGTACATATAACACCAGATACTTTGAATGGTTTGTCTGGACAACCACGGCTCAAACACTGCTTTACTGATGTTCAAATTGGTTGTCATCGGAATAGCAGCTTGTGTAATTCCATCAGATGGAACAGCCTTACTGTAGTAAATGGTAAAATCAGCTGAATTGTTGCAAAAACTAAAGCTGAGATTTTGGTCTTAACGTTATTCCAAATTTGTTTTAAATTTGAAGCAAGGGTAATCAAATTGTCATTTTAGTTTAATTGAACATTGTGGTTTAAAAATTGAATCTACATCATGAAACAGCGATAAACTTAGAAATAGATCTAATGCAAATGTAATGGACAGGCAGACAGACAGAACAAATGCTGTATGTTTGGTTCAAAAACTTTTAGCAAATGTGACGGACAGGCAGACAGACAGAACAAATGCTGTATGTTTGGTCCAAAAACTCATAACAAATGTGATGGACGGGCAGACAGACAGAACAAATGCTGTATGTTTGGTCCAAAAACTTTTAACAAATGTGATGGACAGGCAGACAGACAGGAGAAATGCTGTATGTTTGGTCCAAAAACTCGTAACAAATGTGATGGACGGGCAGACAGACAGGACAAATGCTGTATGTTTAGTCCAAAAACTTGTAACAAATGTGACGAATGGACAGACAGACAGGACAAATGCTTTATCTCCACAAAGGAAGTTTTTGATTGAAAACTTTAAGTTAGTGATAGATATTTGAGTCGCCTTAATCAAGGTTTCACAGAATTCTTTCTTGTAAGTAAAATTACCTCCGAACACTTAGGAATTCCAAATACTTCATTCCCCACAAAAAAATAAAAAAAGGAAGATATCTCCAAGTAATCTTTTATTGAAAAATATACATATATAAAGAAAGTAAGTGACTGTTTTGGTCCATCATATCAAAGCCTTGGAATTTAATGGCATAAAAACGCTGATGTTAAATCTAGAAGGGAGATAAAGATGTTGGTGAATATAGACTGATACTGTCATAGTGTAGGTGATGAGCCCGGTTTATCCCCTAGATTCTTAAATCACATTGCCATGTGGTGTCTATCACACTCTAATCTTAGTCTATATAATCAGTGTCTCAAATCCTACCACGCCATTGCACACCTCGTCCAGAAATGGCTACCCAACCTATTAGATAACAGGGAAAAATTGGATTTAAAAGAGAAAAGGGAAAAAAAATCATGTCTTTTGGACAATGTTTCAGCGAGGTTGCAGACAATTTTAATGAAAGTATTAGCTGTAGCCAAGAAGTTATCTTTACAATCAGATGTAGCGATATGCTTGCTAGCTTCTATTGTATATGTAGGAAATAATTTCTTTTTATAGCTTATTATCTGCTCATGGTTTATCAACATCGAAGATGTCAGTTAAACATTTTCTGTATTCCCTTTTGCCTGGCTTGTACCTAGAATTAAGTTTACTGCAAGATTTTCCAGATTTGTACCTCATACATGCAGTTTAAAGATTGGCAAACTAGATAGCATGTTTGAATTTTACACAACAGGGTGCGAGACGACACTTTAAAAAAAATAATCTTTTGATAATAAGGGGCTGCTTGAACATAAAATAATTATAGAAACACTGAAAAAAAAAAATTGGATTAGAAAGCAGATTAACAGATATTCAAACAGAGATAAACAGCTGACTAGGAGGTTTGATGTTGGTGAAGGAGGGAACAATACTTGGTTCTGTGTCTGGTTAGGTACGTGGAGGTCACAGCTTTCGAGCAGTACCTGTTGTCATGTTTGAGTAGCTCTCCTTCATTCATCACACATTCTCTGGATCGTTAGACAATGAGTCTTTAGGATATTCCAATTTCTCTAATAGATGTTTGAGTTTTTCTTTGGCATGGACTATGTATTATCGATTGTCAACTTAATTTGATATTTATAGGTTTGATCATCTTCCACTCGCATCAGATTACATGAAATTTATGAAATTTTTGAGAGAAAAAAATATTGTAAAATTACTTTAGTGAAATAGTTTTTTGTATTCTGACACCAGTTTTAAAGTTTCCGAAAGAAATGACTGAATTTGATGAAGGTTATGGCAGACAGGTGTTACACATGGTGTTGAATTGGTGTTGTATCTGACTGGTCCCTTGAACTCAAACTTTGTGAATCATTCACTAAAAAATTAATCATCTCGGCTAGAGATGGTGAGTGGATGTATGTAAGTCAGACTCATGATTACTACCATCTAATGAGAATCATCCAACCACTAGAGGGGGAGGGGGTTTGTAGGGAAGGAGGGGCTTTTACGGGGGTTTGTAGGGAAGGAGGGGGTTTTACGGGGAGTTGGTAGGGTAGGAGGGGGTTTTATGAGGAGTTGCTAGGGTAGGAGGGGGTTTTACAGGGAGTTGGTACGGGGGGTTTGTAGGGAAGGAGGGGCTTTTACGGGGGGTTTGTAGGGAAGGAGGGGCTTTTACGGGGGGTTTGTAGGGAAGGAGGGCCTTTTACGGGGGGTTTGTAGGGAAGGAGGGGCTTTTACGGGGGGTTTGTGGTAGGGTAGTAGGGTAGGAGGGGGGGGTTTTAGTTGAGGAGTTACGGGGAGTTGGTAGGATAGGAGGGGGTAGGGTAGGAAGGGGTTTTATCGTTTTATGGGGAGATGGGGAGTTGGTAGGAGATGGTAGGGTAGGAGGGCTTTTACGGGGAGATGGTAGGGTAGGAGGGGGTTTTACGGGGAGTTTATAGGGTAGGAGGGGGTTTTACGGGGAGTTGGTAGGATAGGAGAGGGTTTTACGGGGAGATGGTAGGGAAGGAGAGGGTTTTACGGGGAGATGGGAGGGTAGGAGAGGGTTTTACGGGGAGATGGAAGGGTTTTACGGGGAGATGGAAGGGTAGGAGATGGAAGGGTAGGAGGGGGTTTTACGGGGAGTTGGTAGGGTAGAAAGGGGTTTTATGAGGAGTTGGTAGGGTAGGAAGGGGTTTTACGGGGAGTTGGTAGGATAGGAGGGGGTTTTACGGGGAGTTGGTAGGATAGGAGAGGGTTTTACGGGGAGATGGTAGGGTAGGAGAGGGTTTTACGGGGAGATGGAAGGGTAGAAGGGGGTTTTACGGGGAGATGGTAGGGTAGGAGGGGGTTTTACGGGGAGATGGTAGGGTAGGAGGGGGTTTTACGGGGAGATGGTAGGGTAGGAGGGGGTTTTACGGGGAGATGGAAGGGTAGGAGGGGGTTTAGTTGATGAATTTCATAGACATTTGATTTCTTGGAATAAATCAAATAATTTTAACAGTTATTAAACAAATGAATTGATAGATTGAAAATTTACACTAATGATTAAGAGTAACCAGGAAAGCTACAAAAATGATCTTCCAATTAAAACTAAGTGACCAAGATATATATAAATGATCGTGTTACATTCCATCTGGTTTCAGATTGTAACAAAATATATACATTACAGTGTGTCATATGTCCGTTAATGCTGTTGTATTGTGGAGCTTATCATATAAACACTCAAATCTCATTGACATTCTTATCTAGTATTATATACAAATCAACAATAATTGAATATTTGATATGAATCTGTCTCAGTAGACCAGCATATTAATACGTTTATAGGTATGATCAAATGTGTAAAATTTTTGTGATTTCAAGAACATAAATTGTTAAGCATTTTATATAAAGTAGGTCATTTTGAAGTATCAATTACACACACAGCAGGTACTTGTTATAGATTTGTAGAATATTTTAGTATGTAGGTGACGATAATATCATGATGTATTAGATCGCACTTGAATAATACTTCATAAATTATACATATTTCATTTGTTCTGCACATATGTTATTCACTTCACAACTATAGGTACAATAATAGGTTTAGATTGCCGATTCAGATGTCTGTGAAATGGATGAAATTGCCATCATTTCAGAAAATTGTTTGTCTCATGTTGGTCGGTTCAAATGAAATATGCGTTGCTTGATTAAATACTAGGGGAAAAAAATAGATTTTGAAAAATGGGATTTAACCAAATCCATTTTACTTCTGTTCTGCATCTCTGATGTGCATGTCACAAGCAATCAAGTTGTTAAAAGGTTATGAGGTGATAATTTGTCCACAGTATTGAATTCATTTATTTGAAAACTCTTCCTTCCTGCATTCAGAATCCAATGGAAATCCTTCATTTTACTCCTGAAGTCCATATGTTGAACTGTCATGGGAGTAAATTGTAGAATTCCTTGTTTCTTGGCTGTCAATTCAAAGTGAACAAATGGGAAATCTTCTTCAATGGAGATAAAAATGAATGATCCGTCTCTCTACCTTAACATATATAGGATTTGATTTAGCCTAGATGATATGACAGAAGCACACCTGATACCAACAATAAATCTGGGTTTTTTTAGTACAGCTGATATATAACTCCTGCACAGGTGTGGATACTCTAATAATATTTAACAACCTATGCTTGTAGTCATTAAAAGTACATTAATAAACTGATGCTATGTTACTGTCTCAAGTTTCTTAGTTATGGTATTGGAAAGACTGACTTACCCTTTTCTTTGTCTGTTGAAATTGGCCAAAATAATGTGAAAGGATAGGAAAAAAAGGCCATTTTACGGATACGGAATGGTTTCTTAAATTTGCGTTATCAACAAATTTTTATAAACTGTTGAAACTCTTTTATGAGTAATTAGGTGGTTGGGAGGAGGAGGTGTTATAGAAGAAATGGGCAAAACTTATGATGTCATTAGGTTTTGAGAGGGGAGTTTAAAAGTATAAAGTAAGAAGGATGTGAGGTGTAAAGTGGATGTATTAGCAGTGTCCATGACTCAAGTGTTGTGTCTGGTTGTATATATCCATCACTATGTAGATCTGGTAAAACCCGAGCATTAGTCAGACTACTGATGTCTCTCACTGATTGCCCACCAGACCTCTACATGTCCATTTCTCATTGGGGCAAAAATCTCAAAATCACTGCATAGTGATGAGAAGAAGAAAAAACAGAAAATGCACATGTATACTTCACAGATCTGAAAAGTGCCTGTAATTACGCTCAACCTACAAAAAAGAGTTTTGAAGAAAAAAAATAAGTATGAAAGTAGGGAACATTTAATGACAATGTTTTGGATTTTTTTTTTTTCTTTTTTAAATTTCCTTAAAATGTTCATAAAATGTCATAACATGAAAGGAAGTGCCAGCCATTTCCTTGACATCGGTGCCCAAAATTCCAGCTGTTTTTAAGAGTAGAAACAATTGTCCTTGACCTTGGTGACCCAGAAATGCTGATGTATAGTATATTTCAGATAATCTGTCATTCTATACCATTACTGAGGAGCATTCAGTGGATTGTTTACATTATGCTAGTCTTGGACAAGTCCCAAGTCCTGTTGCCAATTGCTTGGTATACAAGCACCTGATAGAAATTCCAGAATAATGTTGAGGTATGATACACATTTTTCGGTGTGACGGCTGTAAAGAGGTGTTGTTACGGGGAAGACATACGTCTACATCACATTCAGACATGTATGTGGAGGTATTAGCAAGGTGGCACAGAACAAGTAGTTCATGGCTGATATAAGAAACTTGTGGAAAACTCTTTTATTGTGCTGTTCACAGACCATATGAATAGACTGCACAATATGTATTGCAAAACACCCGAGACTTTGTGAGGACTTTTTCTAGCATCACAACTCCAAACCTTGTAGAAGAATTTGGTAGAATTTTAGAGTGTATTCGAGCTAGATACAACACTATTCCAAACCTTGTAGAACAATTTGGTAGATATTTAGAGTGTATTCTAGCTAGATACAACACTACTCCAAACCTTGTAGAACAATTTGGTAGATATTTAGAGTGTTTTATTCTAGCTAGATACAACACTACTCCAAACCTTGTAGAACAATTTGGTAGATATTTAGAGTGTGTTATTCTAGCTAGATACAACACTATTCCAAACCTTGGTGAACAACTTGGTAGATATTTAGAGTGTATTCTATCTAGATACACTAAACCGAACCTTGGTGAACAACATGGTAGATATTTAGAGTGTATTCTATCTAGATACACTAAACCGAACCTTGGTGAACAACTTGGTAGATATTTAGAGTGTATTCTATCTAGATACACTAAACCGAACCTTGGTGAACAACTTGGTAGATATTTAGAGTGTATTCTATCTAGATACACTAAACCGAACCTTGGTGAACAACTTGGTAGATATTTAGAGTGTATTCTAGCTAGATACAACACTATTCCAAACCTTGGTGAACAACTTGGTAGATATTTAGAGTGTATTCTATCTAGATACACTAAACCGAACCTTGGTGAACAATTTGGTAGATATTTAGAGTGTATTCTATCTAGATACACTAAACCGAACCTTGGTGAACAATTTGGTAGATATTTAGAGTGTATTCTATCTAGATACACTAAACCGAACCTTGGTGAACAATTTGGTAGATATTTAGAGTGTATTCTATCTAGATACACTAAACCGAACCTTGGTGAACAACTTGGTAGATGTTTAGAGTGTATTCTATCTAGATACACTAAACCGAACCTTGGTGAACAATTTGGTAGATGTTTAGAGTGTATTCTATCTAGATACACTAAACCGAACCTTGGTGAACAACTTGGTAGATGTTTAGAGTGTATTCTATCTAGATACACTAAACCGAACCTTGGTGAACAACTTGGTAGATATTTAGAGTGTATTCTATCTAGATACACTAAACCGAACCTTGGTGAACAATTTTGTAGATAGATATTTAGAGTGTATTCTATCTAGATACACTAAACCGAACCTTGGTGAACAATTTGGTAGATATTTAGAGTGTATTCTATCTAGATACACTAAACCGAACCTTGGTGAACAATTTGGTAGATATTTAGAGTGTATTCTATCTAGATACACTAAACCGAACCTTGGTGAACAATTTGGTAGATATTTAGAGTGTATTCTATCTAGATACACTGAACCGAACCTTGGTGAACAACTTGGTAGATATTTAGAGTGTATTCTATCTAGATACACTGAACCGAACCTTGGTGAACAACTTGGTAGATATTTAGAGTGTATTCTATCTAGATACACTATTCCAAACCTTGGTGAACAACTTGGTAGATATTTAGAGTGTATTCTATCTAGATACACTAAACCGAACCTTGGTGAACAACTTGGTAGATATTTAGAGTGTATTCTATCTAGATACACTAAACCGAACCTTGGTGAACAATTTGGTAGATATTTAGAGAGTGTTTACATATTTAGATTCAGTAAAACTTGTACCCTATTATAGATTCCATGTGCTTTAAGTATTAAAGTGTTCCTCCTGGTAGACTGTAGTCAGACTCAGCATTTAGTATTCTGAAGATTCAGGATACCAGACTTGTGTGGGGTGACAGGGTGCAGAGCTGTTTTCACTTAGAGCTTCAATAGTACCTTGTAGCCTCTGTTCTAAATTATTTTCAAGCATAATTGAAGAAGCCTAGTCTGATACATGGGCATCCATAAATCCTGTTACACGATTGCAGTCAATGATTTCAAAAAAATTATTTCAAAGTTCATTTTGTCATGATCTTTTTAAAAGTTTGATCAATAGTGTATAGGTTATAGAAAAATGAAAGTATTTTAATTAAAACACGTTTCTACCAGGTAATGATATTACATGTTATTTTTATTAGTGTGATTTTACGGCACAACTATGAGAGGGGATAAAGTATGGATCATAGTTGTTTTGTTTTTGTTTTTTTAAGTGGGGGTGAAGGGGGGGGGTCTGAGGTTTTAATATACAAGCAAGTTCAAAATCATGTATTAAGGATTTTCAAGGAGGGCAGTGTATGTCAATATCTAACCAAGATAAAAAAAAAATGTTGAGCTGACAATGTTTGCTCAATTTTGTCTATGTTTACTTATGAATGTATTTGCGATAAGAATATGAAATTCATTGCTATGATATATTTTGTCAGTTTTGAAAAACAACAAATGTTATATTTTCAAAACTTATTTGTATCACTGTACAGTATGGCCACACACAGTGTATCATAGATTCGCATTAAACAGACTTTGATATATGTTTGTCAAACACTGCAGCATTTGGAGTAATTCAGAACCATCTTTACTTACTATAGGATCTTACACAAGATAAGAAAAACCTCACAAGTATGATGAAACAACACAACATGTTTTGTTGCGGTGATAGAAAATCAATCAAGTGTAGGCTTTAGACTACACTAACCAGACATCGCTCATTTACATAGGCACCAGTTTGTGGTGAGGATAAACTCATTAGCTGTACACATAAATCCAATCCTGCACAGCTCGTGTCTGACTGCCAGGGACCAATGTCTGGACGATTGGATTCTGTGCTGACCATCAAGACTGACCCGGTTGGTCTAGACTTGAGTCGTCACTGACCAATTCACACTTATGGTTGATGATTGTGCAGCATCTATAACAGCTTACGGTCACTTACTAAGCATAATAAATGAAATCTATATCGCTGTCAGACTTGGACCAGCTCCCTATGGATTTCTGAGTGGTCATTCCATCACATACTGGAACGTCTAGACCGTGCCCAAGATGTGTCACGACGCGTCTAGACGAGTGATGGTCTGCTCTAGCATATAAATGTGATTTTGTCTTTTTGTTGGAAGGCAGTGTCCAGATGATTTCTGACTGGTCAGTGGTTGTCCACTGAATAGCAAGGCTGGCCATGAATTTGACCTGATGTAGACATCACTTTTGGTCTATGATTAGACAGGTCGTCGTGTCAAAACCGAATACTTATTCTATCATAGCTCAATGTTACACATGATCTTATTTGTAGTTTCATTTTAATGTTTTGTCTCTTCAGACAATTCCTGAGCCTATTTTGCTGACAGTCATTGTGACCTTGACCTTATAATAATTGATTGTGTCTACTGTTATTTTGTATGATGTTGTTGTAATAGTCGGATATTAAAAGCTGTTTGATCATGACCTTGCAATAATAGACCTTTTTTTCCTACATTGATGGTGACCTTGACCTTGCAGTAATAGACCTTTTTTTCTTACATTCATTGTGACCTTGACCTTGCAGTTGTTGACCTTTTTTCTGTCAGTCATTGTGACCTTGACCTTGCTGTAATTGACTGTTATAATAATGTATGATGTCATCGTAAAAGGTTTGTGTTAAAAAGCACCAACAACTCTGTCACTAACAATTCAAAATAAAAAAATCATATTAATTTGTTCTTACAACAAAGTCCACCATATGATGAAAATATTGCAAGAGAGAAAGTTGTTTAAAACGACTTTAACTTAATTTAGAAACTTTGTTTTACTTTCATTCACTAGATGTAGTTAAATGACCTTGTTCAAAATAGATAAGAAAGAACTTTGATTTTTGTATGAAAGATGTACCAGTGTATAATGAAAGAATTTTGTGTGTTACAGATATACCAGTATATACAGAGTCGATTTTACCGATCTCCTGAAGTACTACTAGGAATTCCCTATGACCTGGCTATAGATATGTGGTCACTAGGGTGTATACTTGTGGAAATGCACACAGGAGAACCTCTATTTGCTGGCTCTAACGAGGTAAGTCTATCTCTCCTGGTGTCATTGGGGAATATTCTGAAAAATAACATTGATGAAAGAAAACAAATAACGATCAGAAGTGGTTGTTTCGTGATGTGTCAGATTTTCACAACTTTATTTTGAAAGTAACAACTGTATTGTAATGTTTAGCATGCACGTTGACAATCTAAGGGAGACGATTTTCTCAAAAGTTTATAATTGTAAATATTGGTAACTTTCATCTGGGAGAAAGTCACAAAAAGGAATTGAGACCCAGAAATTATCTTGTGTTAATTCTTCAGGGCTAGAAAAAACTATTTTCAGCTATTTGTTTGTCAAGCAAGTGAAACTTGAAATTCCCGAATCCAATATTCACTCACCCAAAGAAAAAAGGCAACAAAATATAATTTAAGGAACACAAATTTTATTATCAATTTCTATATCAAATGTTTGAACTCAACACATGCTTTTATTGTTTTACTCATATTTAATTCACTGTTAATGCGAGCGAGAACATCAACGTTTTGACAGTAACTACGTACACAAAACAACCTTGTTTACAACATTTGTGGTGACGTAATAGGTTTTAGCATAGTCTGGATCAGCCGAAGTCTTGACACATTGTGTAAACAAGGATACTACATCGATGTATTTGATTGACTATCGGTGGATTTAAATTAGTTTTAAGAGTGTTGATAAACGTCATTTATTATGGAATATTCAATAGTCAGAACTACAAATTTCACTTGCCCGCCGAACAAGTAGCTGAAACAAATCAGTCGCCCTCAGGTAGCTTTGGCTTGTCTAGACTAGCGGACTAGTGGATTTTTCTAACTCTGTTCTTAAATGTAGGGATATGACCTTGTTGTCATTGAAACATTGCACAAAATTTTCCAGCCAATTGTCATACAAGAACGTACATTCTATAAAATAACTGTTTCTGTTACAGTTCGACCAGATGATGAAGATTGTAGAGGTACTTGGTATGCCTCCTAAAAACTTGCTGGACCAGGCACCCAAGGCTAGAAAATATTTCGACCAGTTACCAGATGGAACCTACATATGCAAGAAGTCAAAAGATGGCAAGAAGGTATGCATACAAAATGTTAGCAGAAATGAAACTAAATTTGAAAGTTGGTTGGTTGACAGATTTTCTGTCTCTGAGACTCCATCTGTTGCTGGGTATTGTCTCACTGACAATCGTTAAGTGTTCTGGCAACATGTTTTTGAAAGTGTCCTATATCAAGTTTACATAAGAATACAAAGCGTTTACTGTAGGTGTCATACCTAGAGAAATGGTTAATATCTCAAACATTTATTAGGTTCATATTTGTCATAAAGGAAATCTACAAAAATTGTTGAGATTTTGTAATGGTGGAATTAAAACTGTTGGCTAAGCCTATGATTTAGTACACTAGATGTCATTATGATGGAACATTTATCAAACATTTATAAGTTTCCAGATTGTTGATCATTGAGTGTCTTGATTAATGGTTTGTGTCTTGTTACAGTACAAACAGCCTGGATCACGGAAGCTCCATGAAGTAATAGGAGCTGAGACAGGCGGGCCAGGAGGACGTAGAGCTGGGGAACCTGGACATAATGTGGCTGACTACCTAAAGTTTAAAGACCTTATTCTCCGGATGCTTGAATTTGATCCGAAAACAAGGATAACACCATACTATGCTCTTCAGCACAACTTCTTCAAGAAAACAACAGACGAAAGTACCAATACACCTAATAGTGCGTCTAACAGTCCAGCCATGGAACAGCAGCATGTGTCCAGTCCCACAGGTAATTTTAGCATCGCTTTACTCTCTTCTTTTGCATGATTTTCAAGTCTCTTGTCTTAAGTGGGGTTGCAGGACAGATCACGGTTATAGTTCCTTTGTCGTTCTAGAGTTTAAATCCATGTGTGGTGACCATCATACTGTGTATGTTGCTTGAGAGTTCTGTATTTTTCTTGTCTTCTGTGCTGGCATAACTTAAAGGACTTACTTTGCATGAATGTCTCTGAGATCTTCTCACTTTTAACAATCCATATGTGCTCAGGTTTTTTAAAAAAAAATTGGAAACTTGAATAAATATTGGTACAAGAGTTGTTCTAAACCCTGCAAAACGATTTCCACATCTTATTATTTTACATTAGATAGCTTCATAACACTGCGCAAATTTAATTCACTCATTTTTGCCCTCCTGTAATTTCAGAAATAAAATGGATCTCATCACCTATAGCGTCTTAGAGGGGGGAGAAATACTACAACCGGTTTATGTAAATATCTCTTTTATTCTTCCTGGTTCATTTTAGTGTAGCTCAGTGTTTGCTTTTACATGTAGGTCTAAATTTTAGATGGTATTTTATTTAATGAAAGTTTTCAAACTTTTCATTTTGAAGTGAATAAAGCAGACTTAGTAAAGCAACACTTCATCATAATTTCATTATTTTGAACAGACTAAAATTGAGAAATATTTTCATCACTTTTTTAATTTCTCATTTTTGAAATGAACAATTTTTCACCTCTCTGTCTCCAGTATTAACTCCTTTATCAGCTTCAATCATTCTTTGCATGTGTTTTCTGTGTGTATTTTTACACTCCCTTTATTCTGTAATTGGTACAGCAAGGGCTGCAATCCATTTCTTAAATTGCTATTAGTTGATAACCCTCTCTATAAACATTGGTTGAATTTTTGCTGTTATTTTCATAAACTTATAAAATGGATATAATCTGATATATTAAATATATATCTCTGTTATATTTTGTTTCAATAGTTGTTTACAAATTCTCGTTCTTGTGTTTCAGTAGGTTCGTCAACGAGTGGGAGAGCGCGGTCTGATCCAACACACCAACATCACTCCCAGCTTCACTCCCACTCCCACTCCGCCCATCAGGGTCAGGGAGTACAGTACCCTACAATGGAGTGTGAGAGTCCAGCATCAGGGCCTCCTCAGGTGGTTCCTACGTATCAACAGCCACCAGCCAATCAAAATTGGGCACCAGCGAGTGACAGTCGTCTCCAGGGTAACAGTTCTCATCGACATCACTCTCATCACCACTCGTCTCGGCAACACCAATCTCCTCCACAGTTGCCACCCAGCGGTACAGCACCGCAGATGGTGGCACAGCATAACGCACCACAGCCACAGATGCAGCAGGCCATACTGCTTGGGTCAGTCGGATATCCTAGCAACTCTAGCAACTTCACATCATCACGGACTACGTACCCCGCCACGGCGGGGATGGCTGTTGACCTAACAACCAATCTGCAAGGTCATGGCCACCCGCAGGTCATACATAACGACCCTGCACAGCTGTCTGCTGTGAACATGGTTGGTTATCCTACATCCCAGTATGGACCTCAGTACTCACAACAGACTTGGCCCACTGCCGGATTCAACTTCTCAATACAGACTAATGTAAATGCTAGTAATCCTGGCCATGACGTGAACAGCCAACACTCGCGTGCGGCTGCCGAACGTGGGGAGGACTCACCAATGCATGGGGTTGTTGTACAGCAAAGTCCTGTGGCTAGCCATTGATGGTACGCTAAATCGTAGTGAATACTTTCTCATTTAAAGTCTTGCAGTGACTAGAAGATATAGTTGGATTGCAGCTATTGATGCAAAAACAGGAAAGAGAAATGTAGGTGTTGTGATGGACATACTGTGAGTAGGGATAATTGTTTTCTGTTCCAAGGAATAGAGATGTCTCCATTGGGAGATGTCTGTCACTGCAAGTGCAGCCAGTCAGCCGCCTAACAGCCTTAGTTGTTGTGTTCCGTAGCTAGCTGCTGTCGTCGTCATGAGCGCTATTCGCCGCTGCTGGCAGAGCTATGCACATCCATAACAGCATCTACAGGAGATGCTAGTCAGTACGAGTTTGGTTTTCCGATGAACTGGAAACCATGCTATCCACTCGAAAAAAGTCAGATATCTGTGCAATGCTAAGTTTAGAAACAGAGAAGCTTGAATAGCCCAGGAGTCTGCTTGTAATCCTAAGTGTCACTGTGGGATATTACTGTGATAGGAGTACGTCATCCCATACATTGTCATCTCGGGATACAACTGTGATAGGATTCCTGGACATAGTGGGAGACCCAGTTTGTGCTGGCCGTGGTCTACAATCACTGCATCCTTCAACTTCCTAGACCTAAAATCATGACAGAACGATACGATTCAATGCTTCATTGATAGGTCAGAGGTCACGGTTGAAGAAGCTATCTGTGGGATATGAATTCGAGAAAATGCTCATAAGAATGAAGTATTATATGCAGCGTTTTCAGTATCATGTTTAATGTGGTCCATAGTCACTATTGGTGTCAGTAGTGTATTATCATATAAACAAGGGCAAATAACTCTTATCTACCATTCCACAAACACTGAGAAACTGTGGCTTATTATCCACCGAACTCAGGTGTATACAATCATTTGCCAAACAGAAACCACCCATCCAACTCTTGAACTTCTCATTTTTTCTTCTTGTTTTAATTTACAGTAATTACAAGTATTTAAAAAAAAAAAAAAGGGAAAAGAATGATATTTTGTATTATTTCAGAAGTGTGAAAGTCACGTTTTTAGGATTCATAGATTAAACTTTAAATGATTTCATTAAATTTGTGTTGAAATTTAACAAAAACAAATGAATTCAGGGGAATATAAGTGTGGATTGTTTGGACAAATTTGTTAATAGTTGAATTGTAGTGAAATCGTCATGGGAAGCAGAGAACGTATTCATGCCTTCGTGGCCAGTGTTTAACACAAGGAAGAAAAGGACTTCTCTAAATGTTGTTGACCAAATATGGCAATATATATATATATATATTATATATATATAAACATACATTAAATCAAATATATATATAATGTGTTTGTATGAATGACGATTCTTTGGAAAGGAAAGCCATGTTGTGTTGATGTATCGGAAATTGACAACCAGGAAAAAAAAAACATAAAACCATTTACAAATGTGATAAGGTGTGGATGTGTTTGACATATCTGCACATGGTTTGACATTGTAATACCCCAAATGTAGGATATCAATTACAGACAAGAAATTTTGGTGTTATAACACCACTGTGTATAGTGACATTAATCTTCTGTGTACAGTGGTCCGACAAGAGGGAATTATTCATGTGATGTAATAATATACAAAGTTTGTAAATGTTCGTTTAATCCTATTTATTGAGAAAATGGAAGAGAATTCTACAATTCTTTTTATCACCTGTTACAGACTGTGAGAGATGTTATGTGTGTCCATTATTACTGTTATGAGAGAAACTGAAAACATGTTTGTATACAACAGGAATTTATTGTTTTAATTAATCCATATATATATATTGTATAGTTCCAGTACCATGAATTTACTTATATAGTCGAGACGTCAGAATCACGCTGTTCGGGAGGGGGAAGAAATACACTGGTTTGTAGGAGAAATGAGTAATACAGCAATTTCAATTCTTAGCATTTGATTGTGCTCCTTGTGTTAGAAGAAGAGAGAACTCAAATCACATATTGTTCAGAGGAAGAAATACTTATATTTTTTTTTTTTCTCTTGAATGAATGAATAAATAAAAAATATATATATTCAACAGGGGGACAGGATAAACAACTGCAACAAAAAAAAAATTTAAGACAGAAAAATAAACAGATGATGAAGATGTAGTTGAAGTCATGTGATGAAAGAGAAAAATGAATACATTTGTCAGTAAGCCATTAATTGAGTAGGATGAGAACTTCTTGGTGTTTAAAAATGGTCTTTGGTCCCTTGCAATAAGGTCAGGTTGACGTATTATAAAAACCTCAGAAAGCTATTGGAGCAACAGACTTTTGATACTCTTATGATTTATCTTTATAACCGGAAATAATAACACTGCTGCAAACCTGTACTGACATACTGGGTAGATCTTGTGTTCTTGGATGGTTTACTCAACTGTCAAAGGGAGATAATTTTTCTTATATTTTTTTTTTTTTTTTTTGATCTTTTAAAGAAAACATGATCAGTAAATTGACATAATTCTTAATAATATTTGGTCATATGCAAATGAATTATACAACTTGAACAATTTATCTTACATAAATAGCTGGCTTATTCCTACTCAAAGACTTAAGGAAGAAATGGTCATAAGCAATGTTAATTTAAGATTTTTAGATAGTTGAAAACAGTTATCAATAATAAAAAGTGTTATGATACTAACCTCTGTACCAACATTTAAGGTGCCAAATGTTTATTGCCAAATTCTTATGTCAGGTTTTTTTTTTTTTTTTTTGTCAATTTCTTTTTTGACAATAATGATATATGAAGACATATTTGATGGTTGGCTGGCTTTGATTTCTGTAGAGTAACCAGTTTTTAATTAATTTAAAATAAGTATATCTGACAGGTAATTTTTCTGACATTTGAAATCATGTCTAAATCATTTTTTATTAAAACTTACCTTTTTTTGGGGGGAAATATAATTTTCATGCTGGGGAATATAAAAAATAAAATGAGCAGGTGGAAAAATAAATACAGGAAGGGAAAAAAATTCATCGTGATCATAATATTAAGAATTAAAATGTTTACAAATTATTAAGTGATGTAGGAAAAACATTAAAGCAGAACACAATAACGTGTCTTGGGGGAGGGGGTGGGGGGGAATGTGGTCTGGTAACAGACTTACTAATATGTAATATATAGATTCCAGGAACAGGTGTCATCTTTTTAAATCTTTAGTTTTTAAGTGAAAATTCTACAATGTAAATGTTTCAACTAAGAAAAAGGAGACAACAGTGTTTAGCAGTTTGTTTTAAAAATCTCTATTTCTTTGTCTTATCATGCAACCAAAGCCGATCTTAACAAGAGAGCGTGTGTGTATGCGAGAAGTAAGAAAAGATGTGAAAATTTTATCATTTTAGCATATAGATAAATCCTGAACTTTATAGTTCACCCTAGGTTCGCTTCTCACAGTTTCCTGTCTAGGGGGAGGTAACTCCGTGGTCACCTGGTGTCTCATTGGATGTTCACCACCCTGAAATATCTCTCTCTACCAGTTTGAGTTTTAATGTGTGTTACCACGACATTCTAAAGGGGTGACCAGGTTCATTTATTTTGTATAAAGTTCATTGTAAGTATCCAACCACTCGCCTCATTAAAGTGTCACCAAGATGATATTTGTGTTATGTTTTCTTTACTGCACCACTTCATCCTAAAAGTTATAAGTTAAAACATGGATGATGTATTGTTTGCTATCACTTAGATCAGAGGAGTTAAAACATGGATGATGTATTGTTTGCTATCACTTAGATCAGAGGAGTTCAAACATGGATGATGTATTGTTTGCTATCACTTAGATCAGAGGAGTTCAAACATGGATGATGTATTGTTTGCTATCACTTAGATCAGAGGAGTTCAAACATGGATGATGTATTGTTTGCTATCACTTAGATCAGAGGAGTTCAAACATGGATGATGTATTGTTTGCTATCACTTAGATCAGAGGAGTTCAAACATGGATGATGTATTGTTTGCTATCACTTAGATCAGAGGAGTTCAAACATGGATGATGTATTGTTTGCTATCACTTAGATCAGAGGAGTTCAAACATGGATGATGTATTGTTTGCTATCACTTAGATCAGAGGAGTTCAAACATGGATGATGTATTGTTTGCTATCACTTAGATCAGAGGAGTTCAATAGTTAAGAGAATATGCTGTTGGATATGTCTATCAAACAAGGAAAAGGAAATAACGACGTTAAAAAATAATTTTTGAACAAGGGTTTTCTGGAACAGTCTGCATCTACTACACCTACTGTGTAAATTTTGGTCAAACAAATATGCTCAGCTCTTGGGTTTGTGACTAATGCAACAAAACTAGGTGTTCTGACTGCATCAAATCTCTAATATCAAACAAGGAAATGATATGTTTTCCACTGATGGTTACAAGTTCACCATAATCAACCTATATCTCTCCAGTCCCTTTGTTATTATAACTTATCAGTCAGCTATCCACATCGTTAAGCTTAAGATTGTTTGTTGAAAATCAAAGAAAGTAGAACATGTCAATAGAATCATAATCCGGTCAAACTAAATAAATCTAGGACAAAATATGAACAAAACAGAGGATTACAGTAGACTCGGAAAAATAACGAGGTCAGACTAGGATTTTGACAAGAAAAGATAAGGAAGCTTCCTCACGAGAGAATTGAATAGAACGTACGGCGAGACATTGAATTCAAACTGCATCACAAGAAGCCTCGTCCTTCTTGGACTCGAATGCTGAAGACTTTAATTGTTAGTACTCTTCGTTAATGCTATGGGCCCAAATTACTAGTACTTTCCAATGATGTTATTGGCCTAAATTAATAGGACTCTTCAGTAATGCTATGGGCCAAAATTTCTCAGACTCATCCGTGATGCTATTGGCCTAAATTGCTAGGACCCGTCAGTGATGCTATGGGCCTAAATGTTAAGACTCATCAATGATACCATTGGATTAGTTAACTAGGACTCTTCAATGATGCAAAGGGACTAAAATAGTCTCCCTGATTATACTAGAATGTGCACAACTGGATAGTACCATTTTAATGTTAACGTATAGTTATATAATGAATAAAAGTGCACCATACATATGTTTCTTCCAGGGACTCGTCAGTAATGCCAAGAGTCTATAATTGTAAAGCTAGGAGACGATTGAAAAAAATCCAAAGTGAGCGAATCAGGACACTTTTCTATACATTAGTTTAGTTAAATAGATGTTTTCTTGAAAATTTGTACGTTTTTTCCATGCACGTCTTTCGCGAATATCATGCAAGTAAAAAAACCAAAGAAAATACCGAAATGTCAACAGTCTTAATTCAAATCACATTCAATGAAGATTGGGTATTATTTGAACAAAAGAAATACACGGAGACTAAGACAAAGTACAAGGTGAAAAGACCAGGTGTTCCGGAAGAGTAAGCGTCTTTATGTCAGATGGAGACTATTGAAAACTGAAAATGAGAATAAGACCAGGTGTTGCGGAAGGAATCTGCCATGTAAACCTTGGTCAATCAAAGTAAGAAATGGCACGTGCCCGAATAAGAACAAGGTAAACAACAAAAATATAATGCCCAATGTGATCATTTTGATGACCATAATACTCCCCTATACAGTCCTCCCCAACTTGTATTCCTCGAAATCATGTGTTGAGAGATTATCTGTCACCTGTCGACATCTTGCTCAGGAATCGACATTTTGGGAACAAGCCCTTTAGAATAACTGGAATAAATAGAAAGATTGGAGAAGCTATCTAGAAATGGAAAATTCATACTATGTAATACAGTCAGGTGGAAAGCTATCCCTGTTGGTTTCGTTGTAGGAAAATGACGGCGGTAAGAGGCTGATGTTGTAGAGCCTGTAGTGTTTTCCAATTCTGGCAAGTAAAACGTCTGAAAATATTTAATAAAATGTCGTATGTAAATGACCGTTGTCATATAACTACTAAAATTCTATCAAAATATACAACAGTATTCATTTGTGTTTCTTTTGTACCTTCCTCCTAATTACTTCACCATATCGACCGTGAAACGTCTACATAATATTTATCAACATCTCTGAACCCTACTCTTGCAGCGTGATGGAAGTTGAAATATCAGAAAGCCATTGGGGAAAACTTATCTCCGATGTACAAAAACAGTCTTTAAAACAGTAAAGACACGTCAACATAATCACAACCCAAGCACAAATCAACAAAACTAAGACCAGATGTTCCGGAAGAGTAAGGGTCCTCTGCTTCATCGCCGACTACCGCCATGTTAATCTTGGTCGATCCAAGTAAGCGCTGACACATTCTCAAATGAGAACAAGATATACGATATCGAAACCAACAGACAAACTAACGACCATCAGACACGTCCAGCCTCATATCCCACAAAGAAATAGAATATTATGAGATCACTATGGCGACAGTAAAATGAATTTTGTAAAAATTTGTCAAAATCCACCAACATTTGCTGGAGTTACGGGACTTCAAAATCCTTAAAATAGAAATCTTCGTTTCGATCACATGACTTTTAACTTTCAGATTTGAATTAATTTAGCATAATGATTTATATAACCGAGATTTCAAATGAGTTCAGTATTGATCAAGTCCATCAGTATCTCATATATTCTTTAATAAAAATATTTTCCTAATGACTTCACAATGAAAACCACTTTTGCTTATCTCCTTTTTTAATGTATTTCAAAACTATCTTTCAAATGAATGTCCTAGCCTTCAAAAATGACATGCGCGGAGATTTAGTGTTTCTTAATATATATTGTTCATGAAAAAGATAAGTGCGACAGAAAAAAGTCAGCAGATATTTCAATATTGTACAAATTGCATGGCATTGATGTGCCTATAGCAGGTAAAAATTATATATTTTCGTTTAGATCGATTTTCGTGGTTTTTCAACAAAAAAAAACCCTTTTTTGATGACACTTAATTTCGTGGCAAGTTATAACTCAGTAAATCTATTTATACAACTAGTAATCCAAAGAGTTCGTAGAGATGTGGAGAGCACACGTGAAATAAACGAAAATAAATCCCCACGAAAAGTGATGAGTTAACAGTCACAACAATTGACACTGACTATTGAAAATATGTTTATAACACTAAGTACTGCAGAATATCTGTCTCCTAAATTTGTCTATATTTAAAACATAACCGCTTCCAGTTAAAGGTTGTGAATTTTGCTGAAGCTTATTTCTTTTAAATTACTGGGTTGGAAAAGATAATAACATACTTCGGGACTTCAGGTCGAGAGGACGAAAAAACGACACGCACCAAGGAAGATATAAATAAAGAACCGACTACATAGGAAATGAAAAGAAATGACAACGCCTCTTGACGAACAAAGAGTAATCAAAGTAAACAAAAGCCAAGGGCCCCAAACAAAAGGGAAATCAAAATAAAAACAACAGGAAAAAGCAATAAAGGAAACACTCAAAATAACAGCAATCAGTAAAACAGACTATTCCAGGTACACAAGAACGGGAAAACGACAGTAAGAACTGATATCAAATTAGAAACGGGAACGTGACAGGAGACACTGACATTACAGCAAAAAACGGGAAAACGACAGTAAGAACTGACATCAAATTAGAAACGGGAACGTGACAGGAGACACTGACATTACAGCAAAAAACGGGAAAACGACAGTAAGAACTGACATCAAATTAGAAACGGGAACGTGACAGGAGACACTGAAATTACAGCAAAAAACGGGAAAACGACAGTAAGAACTGACATCAAATTAGAAACGGGAACGTGACAGGAGACACTGACATTACAACAAACAACGGGAAAACGACAGTAAGAACTGACATCAAATTAGAAACGGGAACGTGACAGGAGACACTGACATTACAGCAAAAAACGGGAAAACGACAGTAAGAACTGATATCAAATTAGAAACGGGAACGTGACAGGAGGCACTGACATTACAGCAAAAAAAACGGGAAAACGACAGTAAGAACTGATATCAAATTAGAAACGGGAACGTGACAGGAGACACTGACATTACAGCAAAAAACGGGAAAACGACAGTAAGAACTGACATCAAATTAGAAACGGGAACGTGACAGGAGACACTGACATTACAGCAAAAAACGGGAAAACGACAGTAAGAACTGATATCAAATTAGAAACGGGAACGTGATAGGAGGCACTGACATTACAGCAAAAACGGGAAAGCGACAGTAAGAACTGATATCAAATTAGAAACGGGAACGTGACAGGAGACACTGACATTACAGCAAAAAACGGGAAAGAACTGACATCAAAACAGAAACTGGAAGGTGATAGGAGAATTTGACATCAAAACAGAAACTTGAAAACGACTGTAAGAATTGACATCAAAACAGAAACTTGAAAACGACAGTAAGAATTGACATCAAAACAGAAATTTGAAAACGACAGTAAGAATTGACATCAAAACAGAAACAGGATAACGACAGTAAGAATTGACATCAAAACAGAAACAGGATAACGACAGTTAGAATTGACATCAAAACAGAAACTTGAAAACGACAGTAAGAATTGACATCAAAACAGAAACTTTAAAACGACAGTAAGAATTGACATCAAAACAGAAACTTGAAAACGACAGTAAGAATTGATATCAAAACAGAAACTTGAAAACGACA